TCAATATGCTGTCAAAATTCAAGATTTTACAATGCCAATGATAGTTTTTTTCATGTCCATCGCTTGGATTGATTGATTGATTTATCTTTATTAAGGAGGCTGGTTCGCCTCCACTCCACCGCTTGGAATGCTTACCTAGGAGCAGCCAATTTCCCAATTTCGAACATGACCGGAACCATGTTAATATGGATGCCACATTTACAAGCCAACACCAATGGCTACTCTGCAGCAAGTTTTGGATGCCCGAATATGGTAGCTTTTTCAAGCCCACAGCTTACCCCGGTTTTCTTGGAGCAGATATGCCCCGGGGTAAGTGGCCAATTTGAGACATGACCGGAACTATATCAATATGATTGTTAAACTTCAAGACTATGCAAGCCAATTCCAATGGTAGCTTTTCTACGTACACAGGCTTTGAACAGGTTCTGAGGTGAACGGCACTACTACTACTACACTGAGGCAAAAGAACCAAATTACATAAAAACCACTTATTAATTTTAGCCAAGAGAACTCGGTATGAATAACATTGATTTATCTTATGAAACATAATGTTGACAAACAAATAATAAAACGGAGCAGTCTGGAACCAAACGTTATGAAATTCTTAAGTTATTATTATTATTATTTAACTTTATTAATTGAGGCTTTCAGCCTTGGGCTGGTTCGCCTCCATAAATTCTTAAGTTTATTTGCCTCAGTGTAGTTCTTAGGCTGAATGGCACTACTACCAGTAGTACTTAGGCTGGACGGTACTACTACCACTACCACTCAGACTGAACGGGGCAGTGCGGGGAAGAGGAGGCTAGAAACTGACATATTTTCAATTTTAATCGGATGAGCCCGAACGAAATAACGCCACTTTCAAAAGGCGTAGTAAATGGATGTTTATAACAACCATTGGCATAGGCTTGAAAAAATTTGAAGTTTGACATCCATATTGACATGGTTCCAATCATGTTAGAAATTGTCCACTTCCTCCGGGGCACGCAGAACATGCTTCATGCTGGCCATGGCAAGCTGCTTACCTTATAAACCTTCCATTGGCAATGTGCAAAACCATGAAGTTTGAGTAGCCATGGCAAGCTCTTTGCCTGATAAAACTGCCATTGGTATTGGCTTGTAAAATCTTGAAGTTTGACATCCATGTTAACATGGTTCCTGCCATGTTCGAAATTGGTCACTTCCCCTGGGGCACTCATAACCTGCCACCTGCTGCCGCGGTTGGATGTGCGGTTTTAGAGCAAATTGTAAACAAACTCGGTCACTGTCCCATACAAAAATCCAATATGGCTGTATCATGAATTTGACACATTAGAATGCCTATATTCAGGTGTTTATGAGTCATACGTAATTTTCGAATAATTTTTAAGTATATGCATAGCTTATTCCCTCCATTTGAAAAACAAAGCTATTTTCGAAATTGTTACCTTATATTTTGCGTTATGTGTGGCCTTTCAGATGCCGTATCAAATACAAAATTATCTATCCAACTACTAGAGATTTTCTATTAGAAGACTGCATGTTTTTGGGTTTAAACTTTTAAATGTTAAGTTATGCCTAAATACTTTCACTCACAAGACGAGACTCGAGTCAAGACACAACACTCATCGTGCTTACAAGGCCCAATAAATTTCAAACAACTTGTACTAAGACATTAACTCCCTCAAATGAACGGAAACGGATGTTTATTCGCTAATTTTCCATTTTATCACCAGGGCTCTACATTTTCGAAGCTCTTTTGTTTTCTTTCATGCAACGCGTTTAACGCATCATTTTTATAATGCCTAGCCAGCCTATCAGCACGAAATGAAAATGAAAAAGAAGCGCGCTTAGAGCGAAAGGCAGGCTGTGGATGTTCTCGTCTTTGCTTTGCTCCCTCTTTCAATGAAAGTAACGTTGATTTTCGAGTTGAAAAGAAGCCTCAATTTGTCTTTCAATTCCTTTCACCGAAACTCTGTCACCACTATTTCGTCTGCTTCACGGCGAGAAACACGTATGAAGCGACGGGAGAAAGAGATTGAAAATGTGTGTGCTGGAATGCTGCGATGCTTATCGACTTCAGCAGATTTTGTCTATTGAAGCTGATATTGTCACGTCCTGATTATCACACTTAGCAGATATTATGCCATTTATAGTAAAGCCTCACATATTTTTCGATTTTTCCGGCTGTTGTTCAAATTACCGAGGTCAATGGAACCATACGTTAGTTTAGTCGAGTTATACTGTTCCAGGATGTACTGCATTAGGCATACTTCCATTAGGTGTCATGTTATTTTGCCATAAGTTGACCCTACATGATTGCTTTTATTAATAATAATCGTATTGTCAATACATTATATATTGGCGACAATACATCAATATTATTGTCAATAATTCCCCATGCGTCAATATATTGATACGTGTGGGGTTCGCTTTACATGTATACCTAGATATGACGCAGCTATCACTTTTCATTTCCTTCACCAAATTTTTGGCAAACGTCCATTCCATCAAGCAAAGTAAGTATACCATCAGACATAGAAGATCTCCCCCCCCAAAATTGGTGAAGTTGATTTGTATCATTGCGTTGCTATTTCCGGAAGACGCTTCTGACTTCTCCTGCACACTTAGAAAAATTGATGTAAATTTAGGGGCTCCGAGACTGACATATACGACCGTCAATTTTGACATAAAATTGAGTCATAATAGACGCGGCATTCAGCTCAATTAAATGTATTTTCGAACTTTTCAGTCTCGGAGCACTCAATTTTACATGACATGTGTGTTTACGTCTCATCCTTTATGTCAAAGATGGATTCCGTCACGTGCAAGATTAGGTATTTCTAAGTGAGTGGAACTGACTTCTTCAGAAGCCCTTGAGACTACTGTTGAAAGTGTCTTCCGTCTTCCATGGTATTTTGTTTTTCAGAATTCACCTAAATAGAAATTCCTCATGATTTTTAAAGGAAGTCTTTCCAACTTCCTCCGGAAATGTCAGTCACCTTACCACAGAAGACTCTACCGGTTTCTCGTGGAGTTGCTTCCGGCTTCGCTCGGAAAGGTTCATCTGATTACCCCTGAAGTTTCATCCGGATGCCCTCTCACGTCAAAGAAACGAGATTAAATCTCATCTCCGGACAAGTCAGGAATGACCCTAGTGTGTAAATGTGGCTATAATTAAAAAAAGTCACCAAATTTCCCGGAAATAGTCTCGAAATCCGCATAAATTTCGAAATGCACATAAATACCGAAAATCGCCTAAAAACCAAGCGATCCATAAGATCCATGAACTTAAAAAAATTCAGGTTCTGAATTTATTTTTTTCAAGTGCAGCTTCTCGAATATTTCTCTTAAGTACAGAATGTTAAAAACTCATCATACTTGAGAAAAAAACTTAATTATTTTTCTGTATTATATTCGCTTAGACACTTTTTAGGTCATGCGTGACATGTCCAGAGACCCGTAGACCATGGACGCTAACCACTACACCGGACCCGTGCCCAGCTTAAACCTTTTTCAAATCCATGATTTTGATTTTTTATCTTCGAATTTTGAAAACTTTGTATAATTCCAGTCACAAATTGTATTTTTTTTAACCTTTGATACATTTATATTGGAAGTATGTATGTTTAAAGTCTTCAGTCCACGGTCTTGCAAACACTAGTATGGTATTTTGCTATTTTAACTCTTCAAAAGTGCTAGAGATGAACTAGCCTAAGGCTAAAAATCTCTTAAATAAAGAAAAAAGAAAGGTCTTCAAAAGTGCGGAAACGCTAATAAAAGTGCGCTTTGACATTGTACACAGAAAAAAGGTTCTGAATTTTAGCTGTCGCGTAAAATCTTCGTAAAATAGTTGACATAAACATTGAAAATGCTTAGAAGCTTATATAAGCATTCAATGACTATTCTATTCGAAACAATATCAAACCTCTGTAAGCACTTTTGGCTAGATACAGACATGCTAAAACAAATTGTAAATTTTATGCTGATTCATTTTCCTGCTGTGTTAAATAATCACGATCTCTACAAAGAATGCGGCAAATATTCTAAAAACGGAGAAGGTACACTAAATCTTAAGTTGCACGGTCGCTCATTTTCCGGTTATTGACGTTATTTTCCAGCGGATTAATGTGATATATTAGTTGGGTGCATGGGTTAGGAACGTCCATTCGAGAAAAAAAAAATACACTCAAACACACATATATTGAGCCGAAAGAGGGGAAAATGAAATGAATGATTTATCATTCCTTATTATGAAGAGAAGAAAACAAAAAAATAAATAAAAATTAAGCGATAGATAAAGAAATCAGAATGAAAGAGGAATTAAGGTGGAACGTTTGTTGGAGGGGATCATTTCCGTCCTTCGAGTGGTCTCATTCTAAGTGAAACATTAAAACAGTTTATGGACGATAAAACGATGACCATCGCGTAACGCTGCAGGGAAAACCAAACGATGAGGCAAGTGGAAGCTTCAACAAAAAATGCTGTTGAAAATGTTATCTTGTTTGGTTCTATTCTGCTGTAAATGTACTAATTAAGGAAATTTGGTGAATACCAACCTTACTAGCTAGCTGACTATTCGAGGAAATGATGAAATAATGATCGTTTTGCAATATATTGTTTACTTTAGTTCTACAGGTAGCAGACCATATGTTACATTTCATATACAGGAAATATTCTGCGAAAAGCAGCATCAGCGATGATATGAAAGATTTAATCGCGGAAAGCGTAGCTTTTTGCATTCTTCCTGCACTAATTAACGCTTTTGTTATTCGCTTCTCAGCTGCTAACGGTTCACAAACTAGCGTTAAATTCTTCCAAACTAAAACCAAAACAAAACTCGTGAAGAGATAGAATAAGGTGTAAACGCGGGACGAAACTATACATGGTAACGAAAACGAAAAGAATCGAAACGAAAAAACCAAAGGAAAAACGGAATGTAAATTTGCACAGTGTCTAGGGGAGAAAAGTTTTGCAGTATCAAGGTACGAAAAAGACATTTCAAACGACAAATGACCTACCTTTGATGTCCAGAGTCGCCCTCGGAGCTCTGCCTCGAGTGCTGACTATGGGAAAAACTACTGTAACCGGATCCTTTGGACATCTGAAATAGAAGATGAAACAAGTGTTTAACTTACCATTCAGACGGAGCAAGAATGTGCCTTCGCATCCCATACGTACTTGACTAGTATTACTGGAGTTACGGGAATGACCCATTTCGACAGCACCGGACACCGTTCCGGCTGCGGTATTCACTATACTCGTTGAGCTTGCTACATTGCCTATACACTGTGCATTGGTGCCACCGGTTACGAGATGCGAAGGAAGTGTTGCCTGGGATGCACTCGAATCAAGCAGCAGCGACGATGGCGGTTCGGAAGATTCAGAAATACCGGAATCGGTCACTAGGAAAGACTGCGGATCCAGCTCGATTGATTGTTGGTAATCTGGAAGGATGCAATTAAAACCGTTAACATGGCGATGCAGGATTAAACTGGCGACTGGCTTACCCGCAGTGGCAAACAGTGGGGGTTTCTTCTTGGTCAGCGAATCGAATCCGGACGAACCGGACGCTATTGATGAATCGTCTTTGGTTGATACGCGATTGGCAGCTGCTGGGACGGCTACTACCGCAGGTGGGCCCACCACGGACACTGGAGGTTGCAGGCCAAGTCCGAGGTTATCCTGGGGGATGGTTTTCGACTTGGGGCTTGGCGAAGGACTGACGGTAGAATATGATAATCAGTACTGTTTTTTAGTTTGACTTTTAGAATAAATACTTACACTTTGAACAAAATATCACCCTGAATCATGTGCATTCGTAACGACACATTCAGCATTGAGTTATCCTGCCGATGCCGGGTATCGTATCCCTCCAAGAGACACTTCCTAGACGTCAGACCGGAACCCGCAAATTCAGCTAAATTTAAATCGATAAAACCTAGTTTCTGTAATGATAGGGAGAAAAAATTTGTCATTCAAGCTTCCAGTTTCCAATAATTTGAAGCCTACCTGAAAACTCCTACCACCCTTAATCTCCTTTCGCACCGATATCCGCACCGTGCAGGGATCCAGCACGCCAGTGGATGCGTTCGATGTCATCTTGCAGGGAAACTCGAACTTTTGGCCCCATTTCACGGTATGGTTTTTCACCTCTTCCCTGTAATGGCGGGAAAACAGAAAACGAAAGTTGTATTAGATTAGTTCACCTGTTTCTTCACCTAATTAACGAGAGCATCATTTAACCGGTTAAACGAGTAGGTTTGTATGGGCAAGCCTAGTTCGGAGGAACAAAAGTGAAAGCTCTTAGACTCGATGAGCGGAGCCGCGATGCACTTGTATGGAAAAAGCACGTGCTATTAGAAAACATTCACCATTGCAGGTCGCATTGCGCCAGGTGTGTATGTACGAAGTGGCGAAGAAATTGCGCGCGTTTTTTTTTCTGCACAAAAACGGCATGACTACATTCGATAGAGGCTTGGTAAATCCATGCACAATACAACACCGAGAAAGGCACGCAATGTTTGTATTGCTACTGAACGGCCTCCAGATGAATCCAGTTCAATCAGTAGATATATGTTATATGCGCGTGTGTTTGTCGCCTACAAAAGTACGAGCAATAAATTAAGGGCTGTCCATAAACTGCGTAGACAGTTTAGGGGGGGGGGGGGTGACAATTATCCACGGCCCATACAAATTTAAAAAAAAATTGTGTGGACCATTGTCTACGCAGGGGGAGGGGAAGGGGTCAATAATCTCAAAAAACTGTCTACGTAGTTTATGAACAGGCCCTTAGTAATGATAGAATAAAGTCAATTGACGGGAATATACCAATATGTTGTGCACAGAATGTAAGGACGGATGGAGTGTGTTTAAACAGTGCCGCATCCCCTGGGAATTTTCGTTAGATCAGTTGACCTACTAAAGGCTATTGTCATCGAAGAAAAGGTTACAAAATACAATTTACTGAGCAGTAAAGCTAAATAGACCAAGAGTACTATTACAAAACAACTGAAACTGATTCAACTGCTTCGAGCAAGCAAACAATTTTCCCATCAGTGAGCGCACCATGAACCAACCACTCACTAGTATCAGGATCAAGGGAGCTTACCGAGAGTGTAGCAGTGCACTTATGATAGAAGTAACTCTCAACAAAGCCACGGGTGCTTGCTGGAGCATCATCGACTTACTTACACACTGGCGGTGGTAAGGGGGAACAGGCCCTCTCTTTTTAAAAAATACGTATAAGAGAAAATAGAAAACTTTACATTACTGCGGAGCGGGTCATTTAATACATGTCGCAAGATGGGGCTTCGATATTGTGTTATTTAGCCGACAGATGGTTGGATGTCCAATAGACCAAATGACAAAACTCCGTGCTTTGGGATACTTTTGAGAACCGGGATACGCAATTTAGGATTGACACCAGTACGATTCTAATTACGGCATACTGGACACAAGAATTATACGCCACGGGAATGACTGTCGTGCTGTTCTTATCCCTGAGTAAGGGAGGGTAACACCTTCTTGAAATAAAATTCACTCTCATCTCATATTTGTATTGAACACTCGATCAAAAAGTTGTAACCAGACATTTGTTTTATATGGGAAATGGATGCAATATCGGCCTAAATGCCCCTAATTTGGGCCCATACATAAATTCAGCAATCGACTAAATTTTTAATAGCGACCAAAAATATCCATTAATACCGTCCCAATAACGCGTTCATCTGCATAAAATTTATAAATAGCAGATTTTTAGTGATGGGCTCAATCTTAGATCCATAGGTCAACATTAGAGCCATTCCCCCTAGCATCTTCTTTCAGGAAGTACAAATATGGAGAAACTATATAAATATAAAACTGTCTTACTCATATATGGAATAGAAGGCATCATTCACAGATTTATAGTTCTTGATATGAGCTTCAAGAAGACTATTTAACTTTGTATTTCCATTTGTCCTATTCTCTCCTATGAGCTCATAACATATTTCCATTCTTGTTCTAAAGCTCTGGAGCGGCGTGCTGGCGCTAAAGCTGCCCAAAAGTGTCGAGATCTTTAGCTGATGACGTCATTTTAATGGTAATAGGCGAGACGCTGGGAATGGGAATGCTCTTAACTCGAAATGGTTGACAACTGGATGCAAGGAGCGACAGTGCAGATAGCCCAGCACTAAGCGGAACTGCAATAAAACTGTCGGTAGACTCACTGTTCGACTTGATCAACTTTAATAACCTCTAATTGTACTCAACCTGTCATTGTTTGAAGGGCCAAAAACGGTTTAGGTGAATCCGTGGGCAACATCGCCCACGTGCATACACGGGATAAATTAGAATATCCTTCCAACAACAGGATCATACAACCGGTCAAAAAACAGACCACTCAACAGGACGATGTCCCAAAGAGTGTGGAGAAGAGCCCGCCCTCTATTCAAGAAAAATTAAAGTCGGGAGTTGACATTTCCACTCTCCCTATTGATTCAACGTCAATCAGGTCCACAAGGGCCTCCCTTACCCAACATACATTGTTTCATACAATAATGGAATGGAAGTTAAGAGAAAAATAAAGGAAAGGTTTCACCCTATATGTTGCAAAAGAATCCATGAAATCACGATAATTTCGAAGAACTTCCATAGATATGCTGAAGCTACTTCTTCTACCAGTGTTAAAAACAGCACTCTTGCCTTTCCTTCCTCACACAACAGCATAAACCCCAATCAACCAAAAAACTCACTCTAGCTGTTCCAACTAGAGGGATCTCAACAGAGAAAAAAAGGAGTGCGTCCACTTTCCATCACCAATCACTCGCAACACAACGGCTTCAGTTCACCATTACACAGTCTGGAAGACGCACCGGCCGAATCAACTCGCGACCAACGCCGGAATCAGAACCAACAACTCCAGCGAAAAAAAAATCAAATCGTGATTAATCATAGAAATTTAATATAATTTTCATTTTTTTCTAGCGTCATGGAGAAAACATTCCCTTAATTCGAAGAGTTTCTGGTTAATTGACAAGGTCAACACTGTTACGCATTTGACCACAAACGTTTGGTTACTGGGTACATTTTCAAAAAGCTTTGGGGTCATGTGGCTGGCAGCAAGGCAAGGGAACGTTCAATGAAAATTAACTCTTAAATAACAATAATTTATGGTGATCCTGAAAAGAACCGTTTTGTCGTGATGGTTGAGTAATGCTGAACTATTAGGATGTTCAACACATATGAGGCTGGCGAACTGTATGTTGTTGGGAACGAGGGTGACGCGCTTGGCATAGGTGGCCCACAGCGACTCACGAAAAGCTCCTCCTCCCTCCTTCTTCGGTGAATGGACGTTCATGTGATAAAGTGATAAGTGATAACTGATAAAGTTTTCATTTTAGCAGATTAGTAGAAAAATTTCCAATCGATGGGCTTGTTTAGAACTAAAATCCATTCACTATTGCCAGAGTTATAAGTGGTCAAAACCTGACCACTTTTCGTAACGCGGTCGATTTTGGTTTTTTGAAATTGCACCCCCAATATGTTGCCGAAAGACGTAATCCTACGTCAAAATGTACACACAGAGTATGGCACGCGCAGAACTGATAACGTTGAAACCCAAACGAGAACTACACTAAACGGATGTGCTATTGGTCAGTAACTTCAAAACGGTGCAGCAGGCACAACGCGTCGTCGGAGAGTATGTTATAGCTTCGAAACGCGTTATTAAATACCTGAGAGTGATCGACGACAGACTAAACTTCGACAGCCACGTCACAATGGTACACAGAGGAAAATAGCAGATGGAGTCATAGACTAATAAATACCGAATCTCTCTAACAGTTTTCACCAGTTCGAAGCACGGAGGTAAACTTCAACCTGATGCAATTTCTATCTAGTCACGGTGGCTTCAGGAAGTACCTGGTTCGGTCTTCGACTACTCAAGATTTGAGGCAGGACGACAGAGGGGTGTTCAAAACAGACCACGTAGTTTATGGACAGCCCTAGTAATGTTTTACAAAATACGATACTGCACTACTTCGTCCACTGTGGTTATTTTCGACGTAGGGTAGAGCATTACTTCGTCGTAATCGCCCATTTCCGTTCTATCGATCAGAAGAGATCAATAACATCAATGATTTCACTGTGAGCAAAACAATAATAGGTTTGTTCCGATGCGTTAGTTCATAAGCTACAACATAAATCATGTTAGAGCGCATTGTATGAATATGTATGCTCATTGTTCTCAAAACAAATGAAGCGCTCCTTGGAAACCCCCCATTTTCTCTTTATCAAATCTAGAATAAATTTAGAAGTCATCTTTGACAGATATATTCCGTTTTTTGTTTGGACTCGTTCAGAAAAGAGAGGCAAAGCGCGGATTGTGCTTAGTAGGGCGGAAATTAGATCAAAAACCCCATAGTTTTAAAAAGGGGTACCCCTTAGCTCAGTCGGTGCAACTATAAAGCAAGACCATGCTAGAGGCGGCTGGGTTCGATTCCCGATCGGGTCTAGGAATTTTTCGGGTTGGAAAATTTCTCGACTTCCCTGGGCATAGATTATGATTGCACATGCCTATCAATAATACTAATGCAAAAATGGTACAGACTTAGAAAGCTCACAATTAACAACTTTGGAAGTGCTCAAAAGATACTATGTTGAGATTCGGCATAAAGTCCCAGTGGGGAGTGGGTACGTAATAAAGCAAAAGAAAAAGAAGTTAAAAAAAAAAAGTTAAGCGCTCTTAGCAAATTCCTTTTTTTCTCTCTGCATATTGAAGATTCCCGCTAGATCCAAATTACGCCAAGTATTGAAGCTACAGTACTCGCTCGACAACAACACTGCAAAACCATTCGTTTTGGCACGGGGTTCGATTTTTAAACCGTTCCAAAGTTGAACGGATTTTGAAAATAATGTATTTTTGCTCCTTGTTACAATTACAATTACAAATTACAATTTTTAATGATAGGTTTATTATTAATAACGTCTACGTCATAAATATGACTCACGGTGGTCCAAAATCAACGAAATCATAAATTAAATTTCAATATAAAACCGTTCGATTTTGACAACACTAAATGTTCGGGCTTTTTGCCAAAATTGAACGGGTACTGTAGTACTATCTTACAAAACTACCTGTTTTGACAGCGACGGATTACATTAATCTTATGATTAAGA